AATAGGTATTCTAGACATTATAATCAGCTGACAATTATTGGCCATTTGGTTCTTTAATTTTTACTTAAGGCAAAACGCCTTGTGATGAGGTATGTTAGTCGATCTTCCCTTCGTAAAACATATATTTAAGATTTAATGAAACAAATGCGTTATAATATTTCGGATTACAGCTTCATCCTGACCCCGGCCACGGCCTTAACCCGGAGTTAGCTGAAAAGGTCTATAAAAAATACTCCTTTCTGTTCATTAACTGACTGGCTTGTGCAGTACTAGCGGAGTGTGTTTGGTGCTTTCCTTTCCACTCCACAATATCATACTTTTATTTATTTCAAATGGCAGGCGTTTTGATAGCTATCATTAGCCATTTAGTTGACTTCAGGCTTCACAGAGGGAAGGTTCATCAAAGTAGAAGAAAGTCGAGGGGGTGTGGAACAGATGAGCGATTCACAGTTGTAAAAGAGGCAGACAGACACAAAGGTAGAGAAAAAGGTAAGGTGATTACTGTGGAAGTGGTAGAATATGGCATCCAGTGGGGTTATGGTAGTTTGAAATGAGAAGTCAACTGGCGGTTAATAGACTTGTTTGCCATATGAGTATACGTTGCCCAGGATGCACCACGTGGAGGTAGGTCTATCGTACACCCCCAATATCATACATAAGTGTGGGGCATTGTGTATTTGAATGAAGACTGGTTTAAACTTTTGAATTGAGCCTGATCTGCGTGAATTACCTCTTGCGCTTGGAAAAATAAACCGTCAAGATTTCTTCTGTCTACTGTCTATGAAGAATGAATACTCCTCTATAATCCATCTTAACCAATAGAGTTAATAATAATAAATGCTTCCTAAATGTTACTCATTCATAAACTAGAAAACAGTGTGCAATGTAAATAATTCGCAAAATAAATTAAAATAATAAATGCTTGCATGTCACACATTCCTAGTATTTTCCTCGTGCTTGGGGCACAAGTCACCCGGAATTTGCCTGCAAGACAATAAACTTTTGCTGCTCCCTTCCAATACTTTACTGACTTGATGCCTTTTTATTAGTCTTCACATGCTTTTCACCCATTTCTGCGCGTGCTGCTGATAGCCCTGACAGTTAGTTTATTGATAATAATATTTTTTTTGCCTTTCCTCCTTAGAAAGCGACTCTTAAGCCCTCCCAGTTAGCATTAGATTCCGGGCTAATTTTCCAGCCATTTTTCATAATGAAGTGAAGAATAGGGTCTTGGTGTCTTTTCATTAAAAATGCGTTGAATGCTATGCGTTTTACATTTTTCTAATTAGTTGTGCAACGTGGAAATGGGTCGTATGCGCGGCTTTGAGGTCATCAAATCTTCTGTTACTCAGCTTGTTGTCAATCGCAGTCTCAAAAATCTCAACGTACGTCCCCCCGCTCCCCCTGGTTCATATTTTGTTTCTCATTTCGTTACTTTAACTCTAATTTCTTTCTTTTCTGTTTCAGAACTTCATTTTGGGTGATTTATTTGCAGCTGGGAATGGTGATTGGGTTTACGGTGAGAATCCTGTCGCAACCATACCTTGGGATCGTATTAAAACGGCCAACTTTTCCAATAATTTTATCAATAAGATTGATCAGACTATAGCTCTATTACCCAATGTTGAAATCCTACATTTTTCGAACAATCTCTTAACAGAACTTCCAGATTTTACATCTCTTACACGTCTCAGAGTGCTCTTTCTCTCGGACAATCAGCTGTACCTTAAAGAAGAGTCAAATTTGCCGGCGTTTGAAATAAATGAAGAAGAATGTTTCATTCCTGAAGCTATTGTTATATCTTCTGCCTCCGCCGGAACTGTTGAATCTGGAGGAAATCGCAGTATATTTCAGAATAAACCTATTAAACCTCTTCGTGAACGTCTTGGTGAAGTGCAGATCCTTATCCTAGCCAACAATGGCCTTCGGTCTGCTTCCATCGTTGAAGGTATTCTTACTCTTCAACACTTAGATCTGTCTGGGAATAAGATTTCATCCGTATGCACAGCTTTGAATACAGTCTTTCTACTTATTTCGATTTCGGTAGTGATATTTTTATGAATTGTAGTTTGACGAATTGGTCTGCCTTGGAGATCTGCCGCATTTAAACTCATTAGAACTGCTGGGTAACCCTATCTGTGAAGATCCGTACTATCGTCGAAACGTACTCAATATTCTTGGTCCTAGATTCCCCTTGGTAATATTTGTCTTACCTGTCCTATTCAATGTCTAAATGTCATTATAACCGTTTTTTGTCTTAATAGATTGTCTTGGATGGCCATAGAGTCACAGCAAAAGAATATGAAAATGTTAGACTTTTTCAGGCTCTCATGAAGGGCGGCGTTGTTACTCAGCTATCACCAAATATGCCGGCTTCCGCTGCAAAATCTTGTTCTAGAATCACTGAGAGTTCAATTAATCAGCCGCAGAGTCGTAACGTTGAATTAGTTTCTAGTTCACCTGTACCAAATGTGTCAGTGAAAGAAGTTCAACATTTCGATGGAGTATCGAAAATACATTCAGAAATGGGGACTAATTCAGCCATTTTGGATCAACAAAATGAAAATAAGGAGGTTTCAATTAACATCTCCAGGCAATCTATTTCTTCTACTGATACCACTCCTCAGGAAGCAACCACAAATGTTTCAAATCAGGTTGCGTCGAAATCTCTAGTTCTTTCAGCACCTCTAACATCTTCAACACGGACTCAAGTCCCAAATGTTCGACCGGAAGATTTTTCATGTGACCTTTCAACCTCTGAAGTAGTTTCAAGTGAGCAACCCCTTGGAGGCGCTTTTGATGAAAGCTCAGTAATGAGTACTGGTGAGTTTTCGTATAATTGTCCTTGTCCCAGCACATCTGACACTGCTACTGAACAAGTTGAGCATTCAAATGTCCCTGACTTTGATGCTCCTCAATCATCAACAGATAATGACATCGATAACCATCTGGAGATTGCAGAAAAGATGGAAAGTGTCAATATTTCGGAGCTAGCATCAACATCTCCAAGTGCTCAGCCATCTATGAATACTTCCAAACAGACGGATGCTTCATGTATAGGGGAAGTGACTAACGAATCACAAAAAACTACTGGGATTGCGTTTGGTTCGGAATCATTGGAAGGTTACAAGGGACTACACAACGATAATAACTCTCATGAACAATCTGAGATTTCTAACAAATGTGATCATTTGGTTCATGAATCCTCTTTTGTTTCTGAACAAAAGAGCTCTTCTGGAGTTGCTTCCAATCCCGAATTTTCTAATTGTGAGGATCAAAATACCGAATCTGTGCTTTCAGCGACGGCTCATTGCAATTCAGAGGAATCCAGCGGGGAGAACGATCAGAATTAATAGATCCTGAGTTTCGTTCACTGGTTGTCAATAATTCTCCGTCTAATACTGGTACATAATCATGATTCATAAAGCAAATCTTCTTTGCGTTGACCTCATCCTACTCGATGCTTTCTCCTTCTCAATTTTCATGTTTTCTTTTACTTCCCCCAAGTACTTACTATATGACATCACCTCCCTGATTGGATTATATTTTTGTACTCTGAAATCTCCGAGTGTGAATAAAACAACAAAGAAATTTAACAATGGCGTTTTTCCTTAGTTTAATATCTCCCCCGCTTTAATGAGTGCTTGAAATGACGTCCGATTGACTAATCCCCGCCTTAGATACCGTTATAACTATTAAGCTCACTATTTAATGGGCAGGGAAAGAGTATCCCTGAACTTCTGGTTAGTGAATTTCTCAAATTTAGGTCAATTTAGATAAATAACATCAAGTTCAGGGAAACAACCCCCTCGTTTCAGTATTGTGATTGTAAAATTTTTTCGTTTGTTCAGTTGGTATTTAGTTGCAATCGTGTTTACTTTATTCATTTTTTTGCTCAGTCTCATGAGTTCCCTCTACGATGACTTGGACGATGTTGAGTTGAGTAAAGGAGAAAGTGGAAGTAGCAGTTGGGTGCTTGGAGGAACTGCAGGGGCGCCTTCTGTCACATCGTCGACGACGACTGGAATTGGACGGCTTGTTGCTTCTGCGTCGGGAGGAATGGCAACGCCTGGAGGATATTCGAGGTAGATGACGTCATTTTTTATAAAGTATATCAGATACCTCTCTTTATTTGAAAAAGGGGGAGAGGGAGAGATCATTTTCCGTAAATGACCTTCACTAAAGCCAATGAAATGTCGGGCCACTAAGAGATCGTGTAAATCTTTTTAACTGTCTAAATAAAAATGTTTATTAGTTAAAATAAAGTGTTAGTTCAAATCTGATTTACCATAATATCGAAAATCAATGGTTGTTTCGTCCTAACGCCATATTTGTATTTTATGCTTACTGAATGGTATGTGTTAAAAAAACATTTAGCGATTCGTATTTTCACGCAGTCATTAATCGAGTAGGTAGCATCGAATTTTGCACCTTTCAATGAACATTGTAAAATTCATTTACCGTGAATATTGTATAAAACCTCTTCGCCCTCCCCCCCCCCCCCCCCCCCCAACCTCCCTTCATTCCCTTTTCTCTTCACTAGTGATGGATTCTTTTGATTCGTGAAACTAATTCACTTATCAGCGTATGTTTCCCTAAGGCTTACAACAACAAAAAACGTAATTTATCAGGGTTTTGGTTTCATCTACCGAGGATGCAAGGTCACCGTTTCTTCACTTTTTATATTCTGCTTGCAAACAGCTGTTCACTTTTTTCATTCCGGTACAAATATAATTTATTTTATATCTTTTTACGTTAGTAAATGAAATCTTTATGCTTATGTGTGTTCCATTTCTAGTATCAATGATTATTTTGTTAGATTATTATGCCTAATATATTTGATCTAGTGATTGAATCCAAATTTTCATCGATTTCTATTTAGTGAATTGTAGTTCACTTGTTAATTTGATTGGTAGCGTAGTTATCCATTAGCTACTACGTTTCCCGTGTCAGAGACCACGGGTTCGAATCTTATTGAGCACACCCACGGTGGGCGGAATGGTCGACTTCACGGGTTAAGCCCTGCCCTTCATGTGAACGAACTTTTGTAACTAAATTGGACTGGGGTTCGAATGCTATTCTTAGAAAATCTAGTCAGTCTTTGAAAAATCATAGTTGACGGTGTATTGGACAAATATAACGACTAAAGAACTAAATGCCAAGAAAGAGTGCGAGAAAGTAAATAATTAATCGATCCGATTTTGCGCTTTGGGCACAAGAAGTGAAGGGAATCCTGTCTGTGTCCAATTTATTTTAGTAATAGAATGAGATATATTAGATTTATCCATTGGCATGTGATCGGACATTCAGAAAACAAAACTTTTAATTATTTTTTCATCATATTCACTGTTTCCCATTTCAGTATGCAGATGATGCAATCTCACATGGCAATAAAGAGGGCTCAAGGACGTCGTGGTTCGGGCAACGACTTCAATTCTCGGAATACGGTGGTTCCTGTGCTCGATAATCGTCGTGGGGGTGGTGGAACTAGTGCTGAGGGGTCATATCGGTAGGTGCTGCTTTAAATCTTTTCAGAAGCGTGTCAAGTGAGTCTCTTTTTCCATTTGTCAGTTAGTAAATTCTTGAAAGGGCATTTGGATAGAACTTTTCTCTATCAATTAAATATCACTATTGCAGATTGCCCTTTAAAAACTTAACGCACCTATGACCACTTAGTAATTCATTCTTCTGTGTAAGCATAGTGCTGGCAAAATTCGTAGTAGAATGTGTAATCGTTTGCATTTTCCTATTTATTTCGATTCTTATCGTTTTATCAGGATCATTTAATTTAATGCAATTTAATCTACCTCCTCTTTCTATCTCAGTTGCTTTATTTAATTAAGGGGGAAAAAGTGGTTACATCTCAAGATGTTGCAATCTATCGTCCGCAAAAAAAATTGTCATTTCCTCTCGTGTTTGACTTTTGCGTTTGTCACGACTGCTTATAGATTTGACTTTTAGTGGAAAACTCGCAAAATGTGCTTGAATTTGTGGACGCGTTTGCTTAATTCTTGTGCAAAATGTGCCTATTTGAAATTAGCATTGCTTCCTTGCCTCCGGTGGGGTTTTTTGCAATTATTTCTTCATTACTAAAAGCCTTTTTCCTAGCGTTGGTAAATTATCTGCATAAAATCTCTATTAACTGGGAGAATTTTAATGCACGAGTTTATTACTAGACTGTAAAAAATTTCCACCAATGTTTCGTTTGGAGTCATGTAGTAAAATTGCATAAAACGTCTCATCTAAGAAGTATTGTTGCCACATTGCTTTGAGTCCTACTCATCTCCAGTTCCAATCTTTAAACAGTGGCCTCAATCGCCTTCCCCCCCCCCCCCCAATTTTTTCTATGCACTTCCTTAATCTCACTTCCTTCGACAACAGGGAACTTCTCTAGATCTAAATTTACCTAAAGAAAATACTAAATTGGTTTATTGTGAAGATGCTTAGTCGTGGAAATCCTGTTATCTAATCTCTATCTACAAAGAAAATGTTATTTTCTTGTCATAAAATGTTGATAATTTGCAAGGCATAGACTAATCTTCTTAGTAAAACTTGCGATACGGTTGGGGGTAATACTTGAATTGTAACTGATCGTGCCATATATTACTGATTGCTCTATAGTAGGGAAATCAAACTGCACACCCCTAGGCTGACTAGTCAATATTTTTTTTCTGTAAGTGAAAGATCAGTTGGTATGTCTAGCTTCCAATTCCGCAAATATACTTCAAACTATTCTCTTTATTATCACCAGTCTTCACCGTACGACAAGATGGATAAAAGACCAGATCGTGAACACTGTAAATCCGTTAGCTTTGAACCCGAGGCATATACGACGTCTCAGCATGTCATAGCAATAAGCATGACGTCCAGGTTTGTCTGTAGTCATCTGTGTGAGTCGCAACTTGTGGGTGTATCATATCAGTATAAATTGAGATGGGGGATACTGCAGTGGTGCCATGAGGTTTCAAATTTTGTTTAAGCAATTGTAACTGGTGGTTTTATTTTAGTTCTAATGAATCATTTTTCCTTTCTCTAATGCATCGGAAACGCATTTGAGTTGGGTGCTTATTATTGATTGATTCTTGCTACCTCATAATCTTTATATATTGCAATAGCTTGATTGGTACTGAACCCGTTATGAATACATTGAAAAGTGGTTGGACGCAGGAATTAGTCTTTTATTTGGAATGAGTCAAAACAGTGTATGATAAGTTGATTCTTAACTCCTTGATACTTGCAAGTGCTTTAATCCACGAAAATTGAAGAATTTTTGAACCCCATTACCCATTTTGAATGGATGTAAGTAAATAAGATATTCCAAATTCCTCCTAGAATAGGTCTATTTTTAATACCTACACTTTGTCTTAGGTAGAAGCTATCTGGCTTTGCTTAATCCTTCATATTGTTGAAATGCTTTAATAGATGTGTCGATTCCAAAGTAGCCTTTATTTTTAATTCTGATGTCTTATTTTTCAGGTTCAATCAAATGACGGGCAAAATGGAGCGTGTTGCAGCCTCTGCAACGTCGAATTCGAGCACCTCCACCTCTCAGTTTTCCTCGGGTCTTCTCTATGGTGAACCGAGCTTATCGTTGGGCGTAGCGGATGAGTACAATCCTTTGTGTCCTAATGACTACGAGGAGTTGGCTCGGCTGAAACGCGAAAAGCGAACTGTGAGTCTGGTGTATTCTTGACGCATTTATTAACATCTATCGTACTCCAATGAAAGTGCTTGGGTGGCATTTAGCATGTAGATTTAATCGTGTGAGGCCATACGTGTGTTTTAATAAGTAGCCAAGACTGTAAAGTTATAGTCTGCAAGGAGCTAATTAGTTGGTGTAGGGAAACTACGTAAAATGAGATGATTGGGCCATAATTATGACTGGGGTGTTTCAGTAAATAGGGATGTCTGAAATTCCATGTGGTTAACGCTGTAATAAGTGTAATGTCACATCATTTTCGTACCTTACATACATACGTACATATATGTGTATATAAGCAGCATTATACATTTGCATCATGTGCTTCTGTATTAGACATCTCATTTTTTGCCTGATAGATAAAGTAACCATACCATGCTTGTGTGTGTGTGTGTGTGTGTTTATATGCAATGACATTTAAGCTAAAGGTTAGCCAATTAAAAAAACTTAAATGTGTTTGGTATACACTCTGACTGTGTATTTACTTGTTGGTTAGAAAAGACCCCCTGATTTAAGATAGTTGCGAAGATGATAGTAGCATGGTTGGCCTTTTCTGTGTTTATCCATTGAATCACCCGACAATAAAATAATATCCATTCATGAGCTTAGTCACGAGACTGCTTATTTACCCTTGTAGAATTAATGATCATCCTAAGGCTAACTGTACTAAGCTATCTGTAGCCAGCGGAAACACTATGAGCTTGGTTGGACAGTTGTGAATGAGTGGGAGAAGAAGGAGAATTCGGGTGGAACGAGGAGGCGTCAATACTGAGCAAAGAATGTCCTAAACTGTATTTGACTGGTTTAGTGTCTTTTATTCCCTTTTTTGAACTGGACTGTTTTTGCCGAGGTATGAATTAGTAGGCGAAGTGAAACTGAGCAGAGGTATGACTCGAAGTGTATTAGCACTACGAGATTTTGAACTTTACCAGAACTATTATTGGTTACTGACTGTTCATCTTACTCTCAAAGAAGTACGCGGAAATATTGATAGAGTCGTCAAATTGGTTTTGCATTCTTGTTTACTTGGGCGTAGGGAAAAGATATTTCTTAATGGATAGGAGACTCTCTTTGGTATGCGTAGTAGCGTGTGGTCGAGAGAGACCACTTCACTAGCCAGATCGGGTCAGACTTCTCAATATCATTGGGAACTTATTTTTGCACTTGCAATTGAATTTTATCCGAGAAGACTAACAAAATATGGTTGATGATAACATTCAATGAATGATTCTTGAACTCGTGGTTTTGGTGTGGAATCGATATTCCACTTCAGATACACGCACACATAATTTCTTCCTATCAACCCGTATTGCTTGATTATATCACATAATAATTGGAAAGTGAATTTAAGACAAGCTTTTTGACCATTGAATCACTCACTTTTGCTCTTATCAATGTGCAAGGGAAATTTACGTAATCCTGTCAAACGAGTAAATTTAATGTTAGCTTTATTGACGAGATTCAACCGGTGTGGTCGCTCGTCTATGTCATTTAATGCTCGATTGTGGGTATTGGACGCATTCACTTTTGAATTTTAAAACGAAATCATTTGTTTATTTTGACATGCTTATCAGCGTAAAGATGTGTGGCATTATGTTGATAGTAGGTTATATTCGTCTTTTATTTACTTTTGAGGCTATTAATGGTTTAGCTTTCTGGCTCTGACTGGCGCCCGATGTCTGAATATTCGCTTTTTTATGTATATTTTATAATTTCAGGATCGACCTCCCCGCGATTCCCACGGTCCAAGCAACGCACCCAGTGGTTTTAGTCGGCGACCAGCACTTTCGGGTAGCGAAAGTGACAGCGACGACAGCTCCAACGATTCCGACAATCGAGTTCGAGGTCCACACCACAGAAAGCGACCACCTCCTCCCCCTCCTTCTCGTGCAGCAATCGCGCCTCCCAGCAGCCTTCTTGAGGATGTTATTGTAGCTCCGGGATCAGATACTGTGGGCAAAACATCCGGCACCAACGTTACGTCTTCTGGCGATATTGATGGCGAGGCTCTGGATGATGCGGTGGCTCAAGGAGCTGCCGGAAGTTATGGAATGTAAGTATATATACTAAATCATGTGAAAATGTTATGATAGTTTGAGATATTGCATGTATTAGGGCTCTCTCCAACATATACCCTCATATCCTTTATTTTACTATCAACTTGTCAGTACATTAGAATTTTTCATATCATTCTCACCCACTTCGTGGCAAACAAGTTTGCTATTCATTGTATGCAAGCAATATGTGCTATGTGCTACGATATACTGCCTCTAACAACACTGGCTCTAGGTATTCCTCATCTTGATTTCTTTAAATTTGGAGTAGCCAAACGAATTTCCTTTATCCTATTTGTGCAATGGAGTGCTAAAAGCTCTTTTCTCTTGTCTTCCAGAAATGCAGTGGCGGCTAAAATGATGGCCCGAATGGGCTATCGCCAAGGTCAGGGCCTGGGCAAAGAGGGTCAGGGTATGGCCTCTGCTCTCGTGGTCGAAAAAACCTCTCGTCATGGTGGCAAAATTCTCCATGAAAAAGACCTCCAACGCTTACAAGAGGCTGAATCCGCTGCCGCCATGTCTACTGGTGGCTTTTCCGAGCAGCTTGCGATGTCAGGATCACTTCCTCCTAATGCTACTGAGGTTAGTGATCAAGCAGCAGTTTGTAGCGTCTCTAAGGCCTTTTCTCTGCATCTCGCATGGTCTTTTACCTTGCTCTACTAACCACAAAGAGTGCTCATCCTATCTTGATGTGCTACCTCATTCTTCTCTAGAAGATTGCCCTATTTGTCCCATTTAGTAGAACCTGTATCTGGCTGCCAATGTCTCTTTTAAAATACTATCGTATGCCATTTCTTTAGGTTCTGCTATTACAAAACATGTGCGGTGGACCAAGTGAGGTTGACGACGATTTGGAGCCGGAAATCAAAGAAGAGTGTGCGAAATACGGCGAAGTCATCAGCTGCATGATTTTCCAACTCGAGGATGCAGGTGATGGACCAGAAAGCGTTCGAATATTCGTCGAGTTTAAGGAAAAGGAGGCTGCTGCTAGAGGTGGGTAAAATGCATCTGATTGCCTCTTTCACTAGAACCCCTCACAGGGGTCTCTCGATCTCTTCATTATCGATAAGAATATTTACTATTATTGGAAGCCATCTTAAGTACTACTTGCAAATTAAATCAGTAATTTATTTCATAGTTAAATGCCCCAACTATTGCATTACATCAGACGCTATATTTTTCCTCTTTTCGTTCGATTCTTCACCAGTCGGGTGTGGTCCCTCATACTTAAGCATTTATTAAAATGCCAGTACACCCACAAAAATTCACTTACTTTGATATATGCAACCTATTTTTTGGCAAAGTTTATCGGTAAGTGGGGGGTGATTTTAACTCTTTCATGAATGTATTAAGAAGTTCTGTCGGGGTTATCCTTAAATATGGTCATAAGAGTAATCTAAAATGGGCTAATCAGTATCCCTTCCTATTTAATACTTTCAATAATGCTTGAAAGTTGTTTGCCTTGGATATAGCTAATCTTAGGAACTCTAGCTTCTTGCCTTTATTCCTTTAACATTTCTCTATTTCGTGGATTAATTTGAGCCACCTTGACATACTTTCGGGAAATGATGATGAATGGTTTACAAATAGTCACATCGAGGGCTTCTTCAACCACTCTATTCCAGGTGTTTGAATACCATATTTCTCTAGTGCCAAGTAACGAATGTTTTCTAGTATTTATTGGGTTAGCAACTAAGTCATTGCCGTTTTTGTTGACGGATTCACTCTATACTTTCTTTTGTTTTGTTAACGTGGCCAGAGCATCTAACCTATATTTTTTTCTTACTGTATGGGCTTCTAGGTTAATTAGTAAAAAATTTTTTTGTTTAGTTCTTTAGTTTTGTTTTTATCCCAATTTAAAAATGAAAGAACAGGACGTGCACTTCCGACACATTTTATTGTATTACTTCCGAAAAGGCAAGAACGCATCGCAAGCACAAAAGAAGTTATGTGCCGTACATGGAGATGAAGCCTTAAAAGAATGGCAGTGTCGAAATTGGTTTGAAAGATTTCTTTCCGGTGATTTTTCACTGAAAAATTCACAACGATCTGTCCGCCCAGTCGAAGTGGATGAAACCCATATCAAGGCCATTATCGATTCAAATCGTCACAGCACAACACGAGATATTGCAGAGAAGTTCAATGTGTCGCATACATGCATTGACAAAAAAATGAAAAACCCTTGGTTATGTCAAGAAACTTGATTTATGGATCCCTCACCCGTTAAAGGAAATTGATTTGACGCAACGGATTAGCATCTGTGATTCGCCGCTACTGAAACGCAATGAGAATGATCCATTTCTGAAGAACCTAGTTACTGGCGACGAAAAGTGGATAGTTTATAGCAATGTTACTCGCAAGAGATCATGGGTGAAGCAAGATCAACCAGCCCAAACAGTATGAAAAGCAGAGATTCACCCCCCAAAAAAGATTATGCTGTCAGTCTGGTGGGGGGGATCACAAAGGAATTTTGTATTTTGAACTCATGTCGCAGAACCAAACGATAAATTCAAATGTGTATATTGAAGAACTCGAAAAACTGAAGGATGCAATTGAAGATAAGCGGCCGGCATTGTCAAATCGGCGGAAGGGTGTTGTTTTCCATCATGATAACGCAAGGCCCCACACATCTTTGGTTACTCGGCAAAAATTATTGGAACTGGGTTGGGATGTTTTGTCACCCCCACCATATAGTCCTGATCTTGCGTCTTCGGATTACCATTTGTTTCGTTCCATGCAAAACTCTTTAAATGGTAAAATTTTTAACAACGCGGATGATGTCGGATCACACCTAATTCAGTTTTTTAATAGCAAAGACGGGACATTTTACGAAGGGGGAATTTTTACTCTGCCAGAACGATGGAAAAAGGTCATCGACAAGAACGGCCAATATCTAATTGAATAAAGTTATATTTTTAAACAAAAATTCCGAATTTGCCTTCTTATTTGAAATCGGTAATGACTTAGTTGCCAACCTAATAAATTCGATTAAATCATCCCATGTACTCATTTTCAAATCTGATGCAACTTTAAGAGATTATGTCCCTTGTGGTAGCATAGTGGCTATCTCTCACTTTTGGAACCCTTCTAGCTTCTTGTGCCTTATTTCATCTTTCCTACATTTTATGGACTTTCGTCTTTTAACAAAGCGTTATGTATAAATGTTGATTTTACATAATAAGATTTACTTGGCTTTGGGTCGGGTCAAACTGTAGAAAATGGAATCCGTTGGTCTAAATCAGAAGACGTCATTCTAACTAATATTTTTTACTACTATTTCAGCTGTGCACGACTTGAATGGTCGATTTTTCGGAGGACGTGTTGTGCGCGCCAGTTTCTATGACTACGACCTCTTCAGGAACTTTGACTTCAAACAACCTCCCCTACCTTAACGCATTGTATCTCTATCATGCTTCAGTGTATGCATACGGCCTTTTGCCTTTACGAGGAAGTTGTGATCTGAGCTTTATTCGAACTTTTTGTAAATGGATTTTGTAATTTATTTTGAGGTTTTTTGTCTTATATTTTCTTGCTAACTTGGTACAGCAGCAGGATGAGAATATATAGTTTGGCGCAAGTTCGGGAATATTTATTTTGGTTGCTTTTTTATTTATTTTTGTTCAATCAAATAGCAATTTGAATTTTGATGTCGGCTTGTTGTTTCACATTTCAAATTGCGTGAATTTGAATAATTTGTTTTTGCGATATTCAGCGCTCATTAACCCGTTTCTAATTGAAAATCTTTAGCTTGTTAATTAAATTCATTTTTTCTTGTGGATGGAGAGACAAATTCATCCTCAGTAGTTCGTAGTTTGGCAGAAGTCTTAAGGTGTGTGTTCACCTGAGATCCTTATTTCAAAAGAGTAATTTTTAAAATCTTTACTTTAATACAAATGGAAAAATTTTTATGCTCGGTCTCTTGGAAGCTTTGCGTGTGTGATTAGAACTTTAGAATTGATGTATTTGTCAACTCTATGAGCTCTAGACTGCTCATCCCAAAATCTGAGGCTACTAATTGTGGAATAAAATTACAGTGAAGCTACATTCGGATCTAGATCTAAACTAGTTTAGGCGTGTCACATCAAGAAACCGTTGGTCCTTCCCCATGTATATTTTGTAATGCGATTAGGTACCTTTATCTCCTCTATTAAATTCTGGACGATTTGATTGAATTTGAATTTTGCCAACAATGTATAATCATTATAGCAACAGTTTGTTGCAATAGATTGCCAATAACCCCCAAATAATGATGCAGTGATGCTAGGAGCAGATTTTCCGACAGGCTTCATGTTTCTTTGCAATGACTTTCGGTTTCACCATTAATCACTAGAACTTTAATTGAGATCGAAAAGTGGGTAAATTGGCTAACTTACAGTACTAAAAGTGCGATGAAAAGGTACTGAGATAACGGTCTTCACACAAATGATCAGCCATTACCAGGCAGGCGGATGTTATGAAGATTGTGGGAACATGATGTGTGCGTGATCCCATGAAGGCGCAGTATCCAGATTTCCAATATAAAGAAGTAAAATGAAAAAGAATAATGGATAAATTCGAAGAAACTCTATTCGACCTGCTGGTTCTGGAGCTCGAAGGAATTAGGGTTCTCCAGTTCATTAACTCCCGATTTCACAGCACTACAGACTCTCATGAAATTGATCAGGTCCCCTCTTTAAGGGCCTCCCTTCAATCGTACTTGGAGAGCGTTTTCTATAATAAAGGCGGTAAAATTGTTCAGACCTACAATTTGAATGTAATAAAATGTAACAGGCCTTTCTAATTTTCCAAACTGGGGTATCTTAACACAGAAAAGAAAATAAGTTTTTAACGATTCATATTAAAGAATAATGAATTAGCTGGGGTGTGGGATAGACTTAACTCCACATGGTGCAGGATGTTCATATTGTACTCATACGGGAAATAAGCCTTTAATCCGGCAGTTGACTTTAAACTACCACGACCCACTGTATGTCATATTCGACCACTTTCACCGTACTTACCTTTTCTCTACCTTGGTGTCTGTCTGTCTCTTTTGCATCTGCGAGTCACTCTTCTGCCCCCCCCCCTCCACCACTTTTTTCTCATTTTGATGTTTCTTCCTTCTGTGAAGCCCGAAGTCAACTTAAATGCTAATGATAAAGCCTGCCACTTGATATAAATATATAACATATCAGCATACTGATACCGGTGGCCGGTGATTAGAGGGTTATGAAATCAGTGGTCACTGACACGCTTCTATTTGTGTGAATGAATAATCACACTGGCTAATTCTATATAAAAGTTCATAGGATGTGAGCTTCTCATAAGAGAGGCCTAAACTGACTTCATCTGTCCGTGTCAAGTGTTGCAGTCACTTCAAATGGGCTTGGGAAGCATCGATTGAGAGTTGTCGGGCCATGCACCGAAGGAAATGAAATGTAATTAGCAGGCTAATTAAAATTAGAATAACATATTGCATTAGAAATATTTGTATCTGAGGTGAAGTTGCTTTCCTGTTAAAGTTATTTTCTTATGTGCTTTAGAAAAAGTCATGGAATTAATTTACATCCATGGCATTCAGCTTACTTAGTGGCCATGTAGACTGCCTGTTGTGAATCCGGCCTAAACTTTCTTAAATTTTGCAACCATGGATAGAATGTGTGGCAGGAGGTTAACATTCAATAGTGATTTGTGTGTGGTCAATTGCCATCTTAGAATGAGATAGTGATGCGAACATTTATTTGCCTACAAGACTTCCTACTACTATTGGGATGTTGGCCAAGGGAAGCATATTTCGTCATTCGTATGACTGCATTTTAGCAGACTGATAGAATTTGTTATGAATTCAAGAAAAGTCAAAGCGCTATGAATACGTCCAAAGAAGATGAAAGAATACCAAATCAGTGCCACCATCCTTTCAAAATATTTTCCTGATAAATAAGCCCTAAGTAGTAAGGCCTTGAATTGGCATTGGAAGCCAAATAATCGAATTTTGGATGGAGGATGTAAATTTGATTAAAAAAGTGGACAACTTAAAGCTCTCTGATTTTCCTATTTGCACCCTGTTTCGACGCGTAAATCCCTCTCTCCTAACTTTTAAACATAGCTTTAAAACTTCCATAAAAAGAGCAGTGACTATTTTAATAATTACGATTACACCAACATGGTGTGCTTTTACGAATGTATTTGATTTGTTAAAGGAACTCTGTGGTAAACAACAATTATAGTTTTCTCAAAAACTTAGCGTGGTCTAAAGGTAAATTCGGTTCTAATTTTCATATTCACCATGCTTTCGTTTATTGAGAAATTGGCAATTAACTTTATCCTTTATTTGACAATTTGATCTCAAAACATTGTCATGGAGGATATTAAAACTTTCTTTAAGCGGTACTCAGAACCGCTTTTCGAACAACAAATGGACGATTCTTTCTCTCCTTTCCTAGATTTCTTCGTTTTCAAACGTTGCTGCTCACCATGAACGCGCTCACTCTTGAATAGAGTTTCTTGATCTGGAAACTTGTTTTTAGGTGTTACTTCGCTGGAAATGTTTTTAAACTGAGACGCTTTGAACGCTTAAACCACATTGATTATTTTATAGAACTAGATTAGAATCCAACTGCATTTTATTGCATCGTGTGAGAAACAATCGAAATTGAACTCCATTCCTCGCATATCAAAACATCTTCTAGAATGATCATCAGCTGCTTTTTGAATGCCATTTTAGATACTCAGTTTTCAGGCTTCTTCTCACAATACCATTTTCATGTACCTTGTCTAGACTTGCAGCTCAGTTTTTCTGTCTACAACTCACTGTTTACTATCTTTCTGAACTCTTGTTCTTCTGATTTGCAGAGGATTATTGCTTCACATTGGTATTTAACATCATAAGATTTAAAATGGGGGGACATCTCAGTCACATCACAACTTGTGCTCAAATGGGGTAAAGAGGATATTCACCAAACAGGAATAAAATCTGAATAAAACGTGGATGGATATAGTGACCTAGAATATTTTCCTGAAAGCTTTGATTAGTGTTGCATTGAGGATGAGGTAACTTTCTTATTAACTTTTTGTACCCACCAAGAGTCTTTTTTTGGTTTTATGCCTAAAACTTTGGGCTCAACTTTGCCACTGTCTAAATTTTAAAATGTCTTTCCGTTATTGAGAGATCTCATATTCACGCTTATGACTGATAGTACTTTTTATTATCCCTTTTCTTCTGATGGCCGAGAAATTAGCTAAGTGTTTATCATGGTTCAGATATTACCTCTTGAAATTAGGTGATGGACGTTATTCAGCAAGCCTCCACAGATGGAGCGCCTGGCAAAATACATTTTTTCATTATTTTCATCAAATCGCACTTACAATCAAGTCACGTCAGTAATTTTTCTGGAGAATGACGTTGTTGCCTTGATGTGTCCAATGGACAATCCTAATATCGAATAAACCCTAAAATCATTAGCAAAAATTAAGTTTAAATTAAGAAAGCATCATTCGCTTGATTTCGCTGCAACTGAATTATTGTAAGTGTTCCCACCGAAACCGTATTTCCAATTTTTGCCTTCGCAAGTGTATTTAAATATCCACGAATTGGACGCTTTTAAAGCAATCGAATTAATTGTAATATTTGATCTTCGTGAATTCAAGAACTAAATTGACTTGATTTCGCCCCAAATTAAATTATCAAAGCGTCAAAAATTTTTATGGCTTATATTCTAGCTCCACCTATCTATTATTGATTAATGCCCGGCTAGCTCAGTCGGTAGAGCACGAGGCTCTTAATCTCGGGGTCGTGGGTTTGGGGTGTGCGATAGACTTACCTCCACGTGGTTCCCCTCTGGGCAACGTATACTCATTCGGGAACAAAGTCTATTTACTGGCAGTTGATTTCTCACTTCAAACTACCCTCACTCCATTGATTGTCATATCCGACTACTTCCACAGTGCTCACCTCACCTTTTTCTACCTTTATGTCTGTCTCTTTTACATCTGTGAATCATTATTCTGTTCCAAATCTCGACTACTTGTCACTTTGATGTTCCTCCACTCTGTGAAGTCCGAAGTCAGCCAAAGAGCTAATGATGGCTATCAAAACTCCTACCATTTTAAAATAAATCAATTATTGATTAATAATTAAGTACAAACGGTTTCTGAGTGCTTCTTAAAAATCAAACTTCTGTGTTCTAAATTGCTTTCAATGCCAAAACAATGTTTCTGATACGCGTGTTGACTTATAAGTGACTTCCATCTTTTGATAAACTTTTCACAATTCTACTCATTAAATTCAGCATTTGATATTTTGTGGATAGAAATTTCGTAAAACTACTGACTCTGGAAAGCGCAATGCCCATTTTCAAAGGCAATATGGTCTTAAAATATAATTTTTCCTATTCCTTTTGGTTTAATGGTGGTGGAGGGGTGGAGGGGAACAGAAAAATTTGGTAATAGTTATTGATTCCTAGAGGACAGAAAAAAATACACTGTTTTTAATTTTAAATAAATTGACATTTATTGCTGGAATGGTGGAAAAAACGAAGATTTAAAGTGGTGGCTGTATTACAATTCACGATGATGATTTATGACTCGTTTCTGTCATGCAAATAAAACACCAAACGCGCGCTGCACTTGACTATGTATGGCCTACTAAAATCTGCCCTTACGCCAGAGAATGCAAAACATGATCACAAAATTGTCATGGTGCAGCTAGTGCTCCACTTGGATGGGACTTAGGAATAAAATACATTCGTTTCCAAAAACACAAATAAGTAAACTGGCATAAGGAGACGTTTTCGTGGGCGATTGTGTAATACTGTCTCTAGAGTCCATTTCGACAACAGGAGAAATGTACGATCTGCTTGATCAAAACCGAAAAAATTCATTACCTCTTATTTCTCCTGCTATAATGAAATGTTTTACTGTTGATTGAACCCCACATTTCTTATATTTCACTAATTTATTTAGTAGATGATATTATCACTAATCAATAAAAATTCGTCGCGTGCATCTTTTGCAGTATATTGCAGTGACATTTGTTGATCGATTGAAAATAATTTTATTTATTTCAAATGGCGGGCTTTGTGATAATTATCATTAGCCTTTTAGCCGACTTCGGGCTTTACAGAGAGGAGGAGGAACATCAAAGTGAGAAATGATGGAGAGAGGGGGCAGAAGAGTGTCGCAAAGGTGTAAAAGAGACAGACAGACACAAAGGCAGAGAAAAGGTAGGTTAAGTATGGAGGAAGTGATCGAATAAGACATACAGTGGGGTCATGGTTGTTTAAATTCAGTAGTCGAACGCCGGCCTATCGACTTTATTGCTGTATGAGAATACGTTGCCCGGGGTGCACCACATGAAGGTAAGTCTATTGCACACCCCTTTATTTAAGATATTATGACAACAGACAGTCAAAATGAGTCCGTTATTGTACCCATCAAAACTAACTCAGTTATCCTACCCTCTGACCCTCTCACGAACACCAAAACGTTTCTTTTTATGGAAATTAGTGATTTGGATATCCTACTTATCTGCAGAAGCCGCGAATTCAAATGTAATTCCATAGCAGCTCAGATGGCCATCCTAATTTGAAATAAATGGCCACTCGATCACCTAGCTATTAAAACCTCATCAATTTGATAGAAAACTGAATAATTAAAATTTAAATTACACGTTTATTTATATAATTATAATTTGAACTTAATCATGAGTATCTTACACATTGAACTTAGCAGAAACGCTGTTAGTAAGTAGGCATTTTTATCAAAGGTGCTTTTTAACCACTCCGCAGTTGAATTGAGTTTGTTCTTGAAATTGTTTTCTATATTTTGTCGATTTAAAGGTATTTCGAATGATCTCATCTAAAAAGAATTTTGCTGCAACACCATTTATTTGACCAAAAGAAACAGAGGATCGAAGCTCTTCAGGTACAACTACTAGCGAATCATCATGGGTTTTTGCGGCTTTTGCACAAGTAGACGACATAGTATTTCGATTAATACTCAATTGGAATTCTCGTTCTTTGTTGCGTTCATCTCCACCACCTATTTTCAGAAGAGGGTTTAAGCGTTGACTACATCCGCTTTCCTCCTCGACGTTCGCAAATAATCCTTTGATTTTAGCCTTATATCGTCCATCTCTCAGCAAGACGAGATTTTCATTCACTTCCTCCCTCCTCAACAGCTCTGGCAACAATGTAATAATTAAATCCAATGTTTCAGAGCATCGCATTCTCTTGGCCACAACTTCTATTATAGCCTTTTCTATCTCAATGGGAAAGACTCCTCGTTCGTCCCTCTCATTTACTGCCTGCTGAAAAGCTCGCACAAGGACTAATCTGGACACGACGTCGAATAGTTTTGAAAACTCTTGCGACTCTTCATAGGTGAAACGGCGTTATTTAAAATGGATTTAATACTTTGGTAAACGCTTCGAGCGCTCACATAACATTTACGCTTTTTGATAACAAATTTGAAAATATATCCAAGTTCGTGTAAATGACAAAGGCCTTTATGAACCAGGGAGGGGGGCATTTTGTAGTGTCTGTGGAGGTATTTCATGATATTTACTTCAGTAGTCACTGTTCTGCTCCTTTGGGGTTCATCAATGGCCTCTATGATCTTCTTTCGACAATCGTCACTTTTATGTGGTCGAATCATTTCGTGTGATATTTACAACACAACTTATAACTAAGAGGCATTTTGAGTTGGGAACGTTTTGAAAATTGAAAGTTGAAAGTAAATTTAATTACTAATATGTTTGAAGGAATAAAGATCAAACGCCATTTTTATTGTTTACTACTCATTGGATTCTGGAAAATTATTTGGGTTTTAAAATGTGTACCAGCTGTTATAAATTGTTCTCATAATGCTTTTTATGCAAATATATTGACAGATTATACCTGGGCGTATGATTTTTCTTCACAATTACTGAATTTTAAGTGCTTTCCAAGTGAAGTAAGAGATATAATGAAATCCAGTGTTGGAGACACTTCCAAATTAGTATTATGGTAATGAGTATCGAGTTTCGGAGTTAATAAAAAACTTTAAATAGTATTATTTATGGAAACTTGCAAATTTCAATCCTATCACTTTGTCAATTGTGACATAGCTTGAACCGGAAATTCACATAGAAACACCACATGTTTGAAAAAGTCTAAAAAATTGATTTAGTTTACAAGATTTTGTAAAATGGAACAAGTGCAACAATTTGATGGATCTTCAATTCAATGACGTCATCTAATTGTAAATAGATGCAAATATGTCAATTAACTTTTTTGCTTAAAATAAATTTTATTTTCAGAAAAAATAGGTTTCTTTTCCCATAATACATTTTGCTACAAGGCATGTGCGATAGACTTGCCTCCACATGGTGCACCCTGGCAACGTATACTCATACGGCAAAAAGTCTATTAATCTGTAGTCGACTTTGAACTTTAAACTACCATGACCCCATCGTATGTCATATTCGACCCCTTACACAGTGCTCATCCTACATTTTCTCTCCCCTCGTGTTTGTATGACCTTCACATCTGTGAAACATTATTTTGCCCCCCTCTCGACGTTTTGCCATTTTGAAGTTCCTCCTCTGTGTTAAGCTCGAAGTCAGCTAAAGGGCCAATGATAACTATCAAAACGGCTACCATTTGATATAAATAAATTTTACTATAATTTATTCTCTTCACAAATCAAAATAAGTAGTGAATCTTGATCACTTGCTGTAATCGACAGAGAGATAGTGGATCGAAGCACTTAAAACAAAGAAACGATTATGAAGAACTGACATTTTGTAATATGAAGAGGTGGCATTTACACTTCCACGTAAATGGTTTAATTCACACGTCAAAATACAAGTGATCCAAAGTCCAAGTTCGCGAATTCATGTGCACGTTCCTGAGAGGATTCAAGTCAGGGAAAGGCAGGCTTTGTCTTTAAAGTGACTAATTGAGGTGTTGCAATTCCTAGGTGTTTGCCAAGGCTTAATCTTAACATGATATTTTAATATTTTAGAATAATTTGTAGAAATTTAGAACTAAAGTTAGTGAGTAGATATGAAGTAGATGGTATAGTTTGATTGAATACAGTTACATTGATGGGCATTTAGATAGTTTACCGTGTTTTTTTATTGAAGATAATATGAAAGTCTATATTGATTAGAAAATTTTTCGGAGATATCAATAGAAATATTTGGTTAAGCCACCATTGGTATTGTTTATCTAACACCAAAACAATGAGGTAGACTTGTACAATAAAGTAGAATAAGATTTGGAAGGTTGGAATTCGGTTCAGGAATAGAGAAGCCTGTTAATTCATCCATATAAGTGGAAGGGTGATACGTCTCACTGTCACAAGAAATCTATTCTTGACATTACCTGCCTGAACTTAAGCGCACGTTTTTAAAAATATCGACATATATTCCAAATTAAGAATAAACATGAGAAAGAATCATGTAAAATTAAAACAAGCAATCGAACGTATAATAAATTAGATAAGAAATTTAAGGTCCAACATATTCGTTTTTGTCTCACCTTTCTGCTGTGAGAGCGGAGTGGTGAGACCAAACTCAGATCACAATCTATCAGGCAATAGGACTTAAAATAGCTGATACTGTATCAACCATGAAAGTGGAAATTAAATATATCACATTTC